ATAAACCAGAACTGTAAGCTAAAGGCTAAGTAATACTCCTATATAAACCAGAACTGTAAACCAAAGGCTAACTGATACTCCTATATAAACCAAAACTGTAAGCTAAAGGCTAACTAATACCCCGCTCCTACATAAACCAGAACTGTAAGCTAAAGGCTAAGTTGTACTCCTATATAAACCAAAACTGTAAGCTAAAGGCTAAGTAAGGTAAAGCATTGCAAAGCAATCCATAATCTCCCACCAGTAATGATTTTTTTGGTATATAGGTACTTGATATACTTTCTGTACTACCTCCTGATGGCAGAACATACTTGCAAACCAAATCGTGTAAGCCAAGATGAAACAGTTTTGCTGAAATCGTCATAGTAATTAAGAAAGAGTTGTCAGGACAAAGATTTCAAACAAAGGGCCATAACTCCTTAAAAGGGATCTTAATGAAAAAAATAATACCCTGAGGCACGACATCAGGGGGTAATTACCATACATGTAAACTTTCATTGAAATCGGACCAGCAGTTTAGGAGGCAAAGTTTTTTCCCAACAATGCAGGATAACTCCTTTTAAAAATGGTCGGAATGAAAAAAACCAAAAAAAACCCACTGAAGCACGACATCAGGGGTCAGTTACCATATCTGTATTTTTTTTTATTGAAATCGGACCAGTAGTTTAGAAGAAAGACAAAGGGGTTTTTTTCAACAAAGGACCATAACTCCTTTTAAAAGGGTAGGAATGAACAAAGTACTACTTGGATGCACAACATCAGGGTGCAGTTACCATATTTGTAAACTTTGAATTGGCAGAGTTGATTAGTCAACTAAACACTATATATGTTCTAAGCTCAATGGTCAACGATCCCAAATCCTAGGTCGGTGACAAACGTAAACAAATAGGAGATTTGCGCAGAGGAATTCAAATTTATGAACCGTAAAACTATGTAGAATGTTTTGTTTAAACAATCCTATCTTCATTGCCTTTTCCATATTCATATTTCCGCTTGGAATTGTGTTATGATGCTCACAATATTTGTTCGTTACTGTCTATTGATTTGTTTATGACGGACTATTTTTTCTTACGCGCATCACCTCCGGTTTAGGCCGTCACCTGACGCGAGCAGACGTGTTTTTTTGTTGTTGAGAAAATACGTTCCCAAATGCCGGGAAATGGGAAAAGCCGTTCTAAAGTTCTTATCAAGTTGTTCTCAAGTCGTTCTCATTTTCTTCTTGAGTATTCTCATACTGACAACCCATGCCACCGGTAGGTCGTGTATACATTGTTTATCCGTCACAGTTTCTATAAACTAGACCCTCTATTGATAACATACATCTATATATAAAACACACAAAAGAAAAAAGTATAAGAAAAAAAATCAATATTTATTGAAAATTAAAATAAGATGTGTGTATACAAAATGTTATGCCAGAACACAATATCAAAAGGATTCTTTCGAAGCCTGGCGGAGAGTAGTGATAGTACGGGGGGCAATCCTATCTCTTAATTACAATGACAAAAACTTGACTTGAACGATGAGAATGTCTTTGCTAAGTCCGGATTATTTTGACTAATGCTTCAACGGATTGGATTGTTTAAACGAATCAAGTATATATGATAACATTGAATCAATTTCTAAAAGTAAAACATAAGAACTGTATCTACTACACAGAAATAAGAAACCCCGAATTTAAGTTTGGTGACAGTTAATTATCATAAGTTGATTCAATTTTATCAATATTTTGTTTTTGTTTATACCGTTATTATTGTACATGTAAACCACATAATGTTCCGAATGTCCATGACTTGTTTCTCTGGCTGTATTTAGCCTAATACAGGCTCGACTGTGGCAGTCTGTCTGACGAAGCAGCACAGGAGATTTCTACGTATCCAGTCTCTCTTGTTATGGGCCTTGGATGCGCTCTTCTTCTTTCCACCGACTGAGGTGCTGGTGCTGCCACCTATTGGAGATTGAAAGTGACATAACGTAAAACAGTATCCATCAGATCAAAATGGTTTTTTTTATAAAATCTTCAATAAGATTTATCAGTTTGAAAATGTGTGATATACCGACTGATCCCTTTGTCAAGCTATGATATTGCCTGGCAGGGTCAGTCAGTCTTGAAACGTTGCGACACGTTTAATACGTACATTGTTTGTGTAAAAAGTTAAACTTTGATATCACTGCTTTTTATAAAGTTCGACTCAGTACAGAATATAAAATCACATTACCACACAAGCTTTTTATAAAGGCACCGGGAAAAAGGTTCGGTTCGAATTCTGATCTCTCTCTCTCCCACCCCCACTCCCTCCTATTATATAGCATGACAGACTCTGCACGAGCGAATACTATTCTCACCTGCTGTAGCAGCATCGATTTCCTTGGCCTCTTTTTTGTCTCTCTAAAATAAAATGTTAGAATCGAATTACGCAAATCTAGTCAAGCTACTAAGTTTCTTTCCCAGGTGTGTTAATATTTAACGTTATTTTATACAGTAGGAACTTTCTGAATGATTGACTTTTAAGTAATTAATATACTAAAAATTGACACAATCATGCAAAGTCGGTTGTTTATCGTGTAATTGAACAACCCTTTCTGTGAAATTACATGTGTTTGATGTTTATTAAGAAATAATATACATTTTAGTTTTGACTTTCTGTTAGAATGGTGAGACATTGATCAACAATCTTATAAATAAAATGTGAACGACAAATGCCAGACAGTAACCTTACCTTGATAATTCTGTCCAACAATCGTCCCAGTACATTCTTCTTGTGAGAGGCCTTGCTCATCTGCGCATGCGTTGTAGTCACTTTCCTTTTCTTGGTTCCTGTTGGTTTGTCGTCTTTAACAATAAAGACCAAAAAGAAATACAATTCGAACATTTCACATTTGATTAAGGGGGTGCTAATTTTCATTTTGATATAAATATATAAACAACGGTTTAAAATATTTCTTGTTAACATTAATAATAAATGAAATAGATCTTTGTGACTAGCTGTCTACGTCTTTTGAGAATATGACATTTCTTCGTACAGAATATAATACTTGAGTTGTTTAAGCTATAAAGAGGTAAATAGCGCATACATAAGATAGGAATATTTAGATTAAAAAATACCTTTGACGGTGATAATATGTGTCTGGTCATCATTTCCTCCAACACTTGGTTCGATTGACCCATCTTTAATCTCTAAGGCCTTACTGCCTGTTGTGCCAGTGTTTACTTCTGGTGTTGCAGTAGCCAATGTTTTGTTAGGTCCAATCATTCCCTCCATCTTATTGTCAGTTGGTGAAACTTGACCTTCGCGGATGGCATTGATTGACCGTCCGATGGTCAGCCCTACAATGTCGTCTACCCCCTGGTCAAGACCTTCGTTTATTTCCCTTGTTTCGGTATTTATTTTATCAACAGCTTTCTCTAATACACTCGCCACCAAAAGTTGTGCAATATTTCGCAGTTGTTCATCATCCATGGTAGATTCTGAAAGAAATAGTTCATTAACATTTCATTTGTACGTTCATGGAACATTCTACCACTTCTGTGATTCAACAACACTTTTCATTAGTTAATAACCATGTATAAATAGACGACAGACCATGCACGTGCAATTCTGTGAAACACAATTGTTTTAGCCCATGACACATATGTGTTTGTGTCGAGGTATTTTGAGTACCTGCAGGGCCCACTTGTATAAAACATCTCAAAGTTAAGGAAAATCTCAAGCAATGTATTGTCTATGGGAAATCTTAGACTTGAGGAAATCTCAAGAGTTGAGATGTTGTATACAAGTGGGCCCTGGTTAGGTCTATATTAACGTTTAATAACTTACAAAAATCTTTAAGATGGAATACAAATGACGCTATGTATGATTAAATAATAACATTATATACATCTATCTCTAGACCCCCTGTTTTAGAATTTCCAGCAGGTGAGTTCAACACTTACTCCGCTTTAAACAGGTATGATTAATGAGTTAAACAGTTACTCCGCTTTAGACAGGTATGATTAATGAGTTAAACAGTAACTCCGTTTAGACAGGTATGATTAATGAGTTAAACAGTTACTCCGCTTAAGACAGGTATGACTGGTGAGTTAAACAGTAACTCCGCTTTATACAGGTATTATTAATGAGTTAAACAGTAACTCCGCTTTATACAGGTATGATTAGTGAGTTAAACAGTATATCCGAGTTAGGATAGATATGATTGATGAGTTAAAATTTAACTCCGCTTTAGACAGGTCTGATTGATGAGTTAAATAGGAACTCCGATTCGGATAAGTATGATAAATGTGTGAAACACTCAGTAACTCTGCTTTAGACAGGTATAATTGGTTGGTTAAACAGTGACTCTATTTTAGAAAGGTATGCTTGTGAGTTAAATAGTAACTCCACATTACACAGGTATGATTAGTGAGTTAAACAGTTACTCCGCTTTATACAGGTATGATTGGTGAGTTAAACAGTAACTTCACTTTAGACAGGTATGATTGTTAAGTTAAACAGTAACTCCACATTACACAGGTATGATTAGTGAGTTAAACAGTTCCTCCTCTTTATACAGGTATGATTGGTGAGTTAAACAGTAACTTCACTTTATACAGGTATGATTAATAAGTTAAACAGTTACTCAGCTTTATACAGGTATGATTGGTGAGTTAAACAGTAACTCCGCTTTAGACATGTATGATTGGTGAGTTAAACAGTAACTTCACTTAATACAGGGATTATTGTTGAGTTAAACAGTAACTTCACTTTATACAGGTATGATTGTTAAGTTAAACAGTAACTCCACATTACACAGGTATGATTAGTAAGTTAAACAGTTCCTCCTCTTTATACAGGTATGATTGGTGAGTTAAGCAGTAACTTCACTTTATACAGGTATGATTGTTAAGTTAAACAGTAACTTCACTTTATACAAGTATGATTGTTAAGTTAAACAGTAACTTCACTTTATACAGGTATGATTGTTAAGTTAAACAGTAACTTCACTTTATACAAGTATGATTGTTAAGTTAAACAGTAACTTCACTTTATACAGGTATGATTGTTAAGTTAAACAGTAACTTCACTTTATACAGGTATGATTGGTGAGTTAAGCAGTAACTTCACTTTATACAGGTATGATTGGTGAGTTAAACAGTAACTTCACTTTAGACAGGTATGATTGTTAAGTTAAACAGTAACTCCCCATTACACAGGTATGATTAGTGAGTTAAACAGTTCCTCCTCTTTATACAGGTATGATTGGTGAGTTAAACAGTAACTCCGCTTTAGACATGTATGATTGGTGAGTTAAACAGTAACTTCACTTTAGACAGGTATGATTATTGAGTTAAACAGTTACTCAGCTTTATACATGTATGATTGATAACATAAACAGTAACTCCGCTTAAGACAGGTCTGATTGATGACATAAACAGTAACTCCGATTAAGACAGGTATGATTGATGACATAAGCATTAACTCCGCTTTATACAGGTGTGAATGGTGAGTTAAACAGTAACTCCGCTTTATAGAGGTATCATTGATGAGTTAAACAGTAACTCCGCTTTAGACATGTATGATTGGTGTGTTAAACAGTAACTCCGCTTTATAGAGGTATTATTGATGAGTTAAACAGTAACTCCGCTTTATACAGGTATAATTGATGAGTTATATAGTAACTCCACTTTAGACAGGTATGATTAGTGAGTTAAACAGTAACTCCGCTTTAGACATGTATGATTGATGACATAAACAGTAACTCCGATTTAGACAGGTATGATTGATGACATAAACAGTAACTCCGCTTTAGACAGGTATATTTGATGAGTTAAACAGTAACTCCGCTTTATACAGGTATGATTGGTGAGTTAAACAGTAACTTCACTTTAGACAGGTATGATTATTGAGTTAAACAGTTACTCAGCTTTATACAGGTATGATTGATCACATAAACAGTTACTCAGCTTTATACAGGTATGATTGGTGAGTTAAACAGTAACTCCACTTTAGACAGGTATGATTAGTGAGTTAAACAGTAACTCCGCTTAAGACAGGTATGATTGATGAAATAAACAGTAACTCCGCTTAAGATAGGTATGATTGGTAAATTAGATAGTAACGCCACTTAAGACAGGTATCATTGATGGGTTAAATGGTAACTCCATTTTAGACATGTATGATTGATGAGTTAAATAGTAACTCCACTGAAGACATGGATAGCCGATAAGTAATTAAATACATTAGGCAGAGTTAAAACAATTAATAATTTTGAAAATTGGGTACATTTGTAGATATGTCAATATTCAAAGATTGAATACGTCCTTTACATACCTTTAAAAAGTCCCGTTCCTAAATTGAAAGTTATTAAAAACAAATTATGTTGATCTCCTTCAAATTCTCACGTCTAGTTAAGCTGTAGCTTTCTTCGTCGCTAGCAACAGTGACAATGGCGACAGGAAAACTCGCGTGACGACAGTCTATTGTGACGTCATAGAAAGAAGTATTTTTAGCCTGCGAACCACATCCCAGGGGTTAATCCCGATACTTGCTATTTCGCTTACGTCAGAGTAATACTCGCTGTTTGGATTACGTCGGAGCAAAAAGAACGTGAGAGGTATTTTTGCGCTTTCTTGTATAAATACTGAAAACTTACCATTGTAACTCAGTCTATATGCTATACGTATGTCTGAAGCTGCTATATCAATATTTATTGTTTTAGATTACAATGGTTTTGACTGAATAATCATACATATGTACGGACATCAGTTTACATACAGCTATGTGGAGATTTGAATGTAATAAATATTTAATTAAATTACTTTTACACAACACATGTCTTGGCCAATGACTCATCAACAAAACAACAATGAATAGTCTGAACTAAACACAAGTTTTAGCGATATTTTTATCAAAATATGCCGTTGGTATGTATGCTGATACGAATTACGATCCTGTATGATATGGATTACGTTCATTTACAAACTGGGATGATACGGATTACGGTCAAACAATCATATTTTAACTAAATGAAAATCAATATTTTAACAAATTTTAGGATATTTTTTCGGTCGCACAGCATCACATAGGAACAAATGGAATGTTAAGTTGACTTTCCTTAATTTTTTTTTAGATCTGAGACTTACCAAAAGTTTGATTTTTTTTAATCTGGGTTTTAATACCACACTCATCTCAACGATAAGGAAAATCTCAAGCAATGTATTGTCTATGGGAAATCTAAGACTTGAGGAAATCTCAAGAGTTGGGATGTTGTATACAAGTTGACGTTTCATTACTTAGAAAAATCTTTAAGATGGAATACAAATGACGCTATGTATAATTAAATAATTACATTTTATATATCGAACTCAAGACCCCCTGTTTTAGAAATTCCTGTTGGTAAGTTCAACACTTACTCCGTTTTAGACAGGTATGATTAATGAGTTAAACAGTAACTCCGCTTTAGACATGTATGATTGGTGAGTTAAACAGTAACTCCGCTTTAGACAGGTATGGTTGGTGAGTTAAACAGTAACTTCACTTTATACAGGTATGATTGGTGAGTTAAACAGTAATTTCATTTTATACAGGTATGATTGATGAGTTAAACAGTTACTCAGCTTTATACAGGTATGATTAATAAGTTAAACAGTTACTCAGCTTTATACAGGTATGATTGGTGAGTTAAACAGTAACTCCGCTTTATAGAGGTATTATTGATGAGTTAAACAGTAACTCCGCGTTATACAGGTATGATTGATGAGTTATATAGTAACTCCACTTTAGACAGGTATGATTGATGAGTTAAACAGTTACTCAGCTTTATACAGGTATGATTGATCACATAAACAGTTACTCAGCTTTATACAGGTATGATTGATCACATAAACAGTTACTCAGCTTTATACAGGTATGATTGATAACATAAACAGTAACTCCGCTTAAAACAGGTATGATTGATGACATAAACAGTAACTCCGCTTTAGACAGGTATGATTGGTGAGTTAAACAGTAATTTCATTTTATACAGGTATGATTGATGAGTTAAACAGTTCCTCAGCTTTATACAGGTATGATTAATAAGTTAAACAGTTACTCAGCTTTATAGAGGTATGATTGATAACATAAACAGTAACTCCGCTTAAAACAGGTATGATTGATGACATAAACAGTAACTCCGCTTTAGACAGGTATGATTGGTGAGTTAAACAGTAACTCCACTTTAGACAGATATGATTGTTGAGTTAAACAGTAACTTCACTTTATACAGGTATGATTGATGAGTTAAACAGTTACTCCGCTTTAGACAGGTATGATTAATGAGTTAAACAGTAACTCCGCTTTAGGCATGTATGATTGGTGAGTTAAACAGTAATTTCATTTTATACAGGTATGATTGATGAGTTAAACAGTAACTCCGCTTTATACAGGTATGATTGATGAGTTATATAGTAACTCCACTTTAGACAGGTATGATTGATGAGTTAAATAATAACTCCACTTAAGACATGTATGGCCCACAAATAATTAAATTCACTGCGTAGAGTTAAAACAATTAAGCATTTTGAAAATTGGGTACATTTGTAGATATGTTATTATTCAAAGATTGAATACGTCCTTTACAAACCTTTAAAAAGTCCCGTTCCTAAATTGAAAGTTATCAAAAACAAATTTTGTTGATCTCCTTCAAATTCTCACGTCTAGTTAAGCTGTAGCTTTCTTCGTCGCTAGCAACAGTGACAATGACGACAGGAAATCTCGCGTGACGACAGTCTATTGTGACGTCATATAAAGAAGTATTTTTAGCCTGCGAACCACATTCGATCTTCACGGAAACTGATAGCTATTTTGCTGGATAGAGTGCACCTTTTCAGATAAAAAAAGAAAAAAAAGAAGAGGGGCCCAATCTCATGTTGCCGTAGGCTGCATGCCGAGGCGTGAAGCACCATTTTTTGGTGAGGAATAGAAGAACCTATACAACCTGCCGTGGGAATTTTTATTTTCTTGGCGCTCAGTTCAACTGGAAATGAAAAATGTAACGGACAGAACGCGATTTATTTCCGGATACATTGAAATCTAAAGGGACACTCTAGGTACAGTCAGAATTACGCCCAAGTATCCACTTTGTGGGGCACGAACGCAGGACGCACGCTTCCCGAACGGAGACGAGCCGCTATACGACCGCAGGACGAACCCGGTACGAACGCAAGTCTACCGATAGGACCGGTGTTACCGATTGGGTCTAACGCTGCTAGTACAGCCGCTTCCCGAACGGAGCGAGGTTATCGGCCGCTATCGACCGATAAACTGATACCTGGCCGATAGCGGCGGATCGAACGAACGAACTATGCAGCCGCTTTCACGGGACGGAACTAGTAGTCGTCTGGATAACCGAACCACTCGTAGTGACGCGGACGTTAATATACTAAAACAAACAAATAACCGGTACTAGTGCCCAATTACCCCTGTACTTACCACCCCATAAGATATATTTAAGTCCGTAACTAAACTAATAAAGCCGTGTTATTTTAATAATGTCGGATCAGTCTAAGAATAACATTTCTCTTATTCTTATGATTAAAATGTTAGTCAATGATACGATTTCTACAACATATATTTGTTTGAATAGAGCGGTCGTTTAATCTATGTTATAACTGAATGACCACAAATGTATAGGTATACCTAGACAATTACGACACGATTTAAATTCAAATACATGATTGCTAGCGAATTGTAACCATATTCACGGAAGAATTGTCCTACCACATTTTGTATTTTTTTCAATATCGTAAATATGCCTGTTTGTTACATGAAATACCATATTATATTAGCAATGAATTAAGGCCAGATTTTGTAAGTGATAATCGTTCTGATGTGTATGTCCAATACCAGATTTCAGATTTTTGTTTCTCTCAGACATACATTTATCGATGTATGTGAGGTATGTGTTGTGGTATGTATGTAATATAGTAATTAGTGCGCTCTGGTCCAAAACCAGACGTCTATCTGTCAAACTGTCTTAGTCTGATGTCAGAGGCGGCGGAAACTCAGAACTGATAGCATGGTATACAGAACATTGAGATACAGATACATATAGTTTATAATTTATTAAACGTGGGATAGGCCCTGTTACATGCGGCTATTGTTATTTCGAAGGTAAAGTTCAGTCACAGGGACCCGGCTACAGTTGGTTTGTTTGGACCTATCTCGCTGTGTAAAGAGTAATATCTCTCGAAATAAATGCCACCCCTCCTTCCAACAGCACCCGAGAAAAGATTTAAGCGTCTCAAGTCGCAAGGCCGTCTTTTGCCGGCGTATCTAGTTTCTACCACGAAATCGTATACATTAGATTTATCTCAACCAGGGACGTATATACTGTCCCTGCTCCGACATATAAGTGTTAAGTCAAAACAAACATTATTGTAACTAATTCGCGGGTCCGTATAGTTTATAGTCTGTTTTCATACGTCTCTGATTGAATTATGAGACTGAAGTACAATGTCTGTTTTACGTATCATTTTAATTTAATTCAAATATTGAACAGGGAAAGTATAAAGACGACCACTGTGCACGGATGTGTGTAGCTTCGGGTATATAATAATGAAAAATGAAGATGAGTAACACTTACATACCCTTTTCATTATGCATCGGAAACGTATGGTTGGTGTTTCTATCTGTATGCGTTATATGTTTTTTTTTATATAAATTGAATTCATATGAGCTTCAGATCACTAGTACCGTAAAAAATCCAAAAGTTTGTGGGTGTTGGGTTTGGCGGTATCGATGGCAACGCCTCCTTATCTCCAATGAATTCAACTTCCTATACAACGACAGTATCTGACGAATTACGGCAACGTTTCTTTTAAAATACTTTTCTAACATAATAGTTTTATTTTTCCTTTCTTTATTCTGCATAAAAAAAGATATTTTGATAGGAAACAAAGTATATCTTATAATTGACACAAACATGCCCAGTATATAAAACCGTCCTTTTGTATGGTAACTTTATGCAACTTCTTTCAGGTATACGATATGCTACTGATTCGTGTTTCAATAGGTGAAATCGAAAGGTTGTATGAGATAATTAAGTGTTCATTTCGCAATTCAAAAGAACAAATACAATTTTACACTGAATTTATTTAAAATTTTCATATTGTTTAGCTTCTTTTATTTCTCTAATCCACGATTTTATTTACTTTAAAATCATAATCTATGTTTTAAGTTGAAAAAATGCTTGTAACTTTTTTATGTTAATTTTCATAAAAATCACAATGCAAATGTTACCGTGTCGAGTCATTTACCTGGATATGTAACAGAAAAGATCGGTGTGTTAGTTAGGATGACCATGACCGCTATCAGGGGTAGCCAATTACCCCAGCGGGGGTGCACCATCCCCCATCGGTACTTCAATTTTCGCCCATGGGCATCTTCATTTCAGTAAAGCCAGACCCCACGCCGTATATCGCCTGATTCAGCTATCGTTTTTGTCAGCTCGAGTTTCCTCTGGCCTTAACATCAGACTCACCAGACAGACATCTATATGTCAAAATGTTAGGGCCAGAGGAAACTCGGGATAATCTGGCTAGAGACGTATACGTCCCTGATCAGTCACTTATATAGTACTGTTTCTTTGTTTGTAGTTAAAAAATAAACATCGAGCGGTTAAAACAGAGGGGTATAAAAACAATTTATTCGTAGTACATACACTGGTATA